AGGTTCTCGGGCTGCCAAGGTCGTCTCCATTACCTGTGCCGTCCGATCATGTTATTCGACATTTTGGTGCTGATGGGCACAATTTTGACGCTGCTGTCCGTGTCCGGTGTCTGGGTTCGTAAGCAACAAAACGCCTGGTTGATGGAGTACTTCAAGTTTCTGCAGTTGTTCCGCTTCCTGCACCTCGACAGAAAGTCGTCGACGTTGTACCTGTTGAAGAAGGTGTTCTACCTTCATAGGAAAGAGCTGTTCACGTCGATTTTCATCGGCAGTTTCTGCGTGATGCTGATCGCAGCGATCGTCAGTTGGACCGAGGGTTGTTACGACGACCCCACGTGTCAAATGAGTGACTACGGAAATACTCTGTACTGGAGTTTCATGACGTATCTTGCCATCGGATACGGAGAGCTCACCCCAAAGCACTGGGTGTCGAAGGTGCTCGTCGCCGTTTCCAGCATTATCCTTGTCAGCGTCTTCTACCTGATCCCGTCGCTGCTCGGATTCGGTTTCAGTTTGATGCTGGAGAACCGGCGAATCAAGTCGCACATGAAGATCGAACAGCCTCGGGCTGCAACCCTCATACAAACGTTTTGGCGTCTCTACCTCATCAGAGAACGGTTCGATAAAATCGCGTTTTACAACGACGTTTACGTTCACAACCTGATCGCCGATCGTCTGGACATCGTGCAGCCGAGTCGGTGGAACTCGATGATCCGTTCGGTGTCACTGAACTCGATAGTGGGCACGTTTCAGAAGCGCAAGTGTTCGATCACCTACTCGGACGTGTCCAGCAACAGCGGTAGCCGAACTGACTTCTTCCTCGGCACTGACCGCAAGTTGTCCAGGACGAGGAACAGCTGTGCCATCGCGACGGTCTGTCATAGTCAGGTGTTGAGCCTGGACGAGAACGACTCGGCTGACGAAGGTGCCAGCCTGCCGCTGCCATCGACACCGCCGGTCTGTAAGCGGTCTAGGGTCGCCCGCCACTACTCGCAAGGCCCAGACAAATACGTGTACGTTCTGGTCGCCATATGGCATATGAAGTTCCTGGTGGCCAAGAGAAAATTCCAGTTGATGAAGACCGGCGTCGACCTGTACGACGTTTCCCTGCAGATCAGCGAATGCCAGGCCATCGCCCTGACCAAACTGCAGAACCTGCAGCACAAAATCGACATCGTCGTCGAGCAATTAAAGTCTAAGCCGCCTGATTCAAAGAACAACAAGGAACGCGATATGTCCAGAAAAATCGTCCACCTGGAAACCACGGTCAACCTGCTGCAGAGCAAGGTCGAGCTGCTTACGCAAAAGCTTTGCATGATTCAGAACCAACGACTTGTGTCGAATTCGAACTAGCATCGACCTCTATCCATCCGGTTTCACCGAACATCCAGGGAACAGCTTTCATTTTCCGATGGTCGTTCACTGCCACATTTTTTTAATTTATATTTGAATTCCAACTCTCCCTCACCCTCGGTGACCACGTCAACTTCCAGCAAACCAAAGTGCACTGAATGAAATGCCTTCGAGAATAGGATGTTGCGTAGAAAAAGGTTAGCGACGACTATGAAGTTCATATCTGGATGGAATTCGAAAGGTGAAGAACTAGTGACCGTTTTAGCCCTACCTGTCGATTTGTACAATAAAGTATATTGATTAAATTGTTTTGCAAATTATATAAAACGTGGTCGTCTCAGTCTTCAGGGGCCCATTCGGTATTTGGCCTTGGAGTTTAACAATACTCATTATTCTACTGAATTTGATTGGGTTAAAGTAATCTCTTTGAATTCATAACCACAACAACTGACTTATCCTTCTTCGCAACTAAAGGGAATAATCATTGCCTAGTTTTGCTACGAACGTTCGTCAGTATCATGCGATATGCCTGAAAAGCAACCATTTCTCTTTTACCTCATCGTCCGCTTTGAGCCGAGCTATTCCGATTGGCCGCCTTCAGCCCCCTGGGTACCATTCCATCACTATTGAAATGCATCGGTCGTCGATCTGTCATGAGATTTATTCTGACTCGAGGTGCACGCTTGGCACTGGGGTTTCGGGGGGGGCAGTGTTGTTTGCGTTTTCCATTTCTTTCAATCTTGACAAATGGTTTAATCTACTTTTCACGTTTGCCATGTGTCCTTATTGTCCGTTTCTTCTTCACTCAGACTGAATCGCGTTTAAGATTTAACATGACGGCTCTCAGAGACTTGACCCACTTCAAGGTTTCCTCAGTGAGTGCTGGCAAAGTCACCTCTACTTCGACTGTTTCTTCTCTGCACCACTGAATTCAGACCCATCTCATGCCATTAAATTAAGCAACTTGAATGGTGTAAAAATGAACGCTAGTTTCTTAGAGCTATGTTGAAACGGTTCCATTAAATACATAATTAATCTATGAGAAATATGGCGATAACGGGAGAGCAGACATTCATAATTCCATAGAAGGGCCTATGCATCATCAAAATCGCTAGTTTCATTGTGATAATGGGACGAATTGATAAAGACAAAAGTGCATAACCCCATTTAGCCAAATAGGCTGTAAGCCCCTTTACCTACTACCCTAACTTTCGAAGCATGCGACAGCAGAGCAGGTTTTCACAGAACGCCATTGCTCAGATTAGATGAATAAGGCAGCAGCCGATGAACTACTAAATAGCACTGAGTTCCTCATATGTCGCGACGAAAAAAAAATTGATGGTGCTTTTGGTTACATAGGAATGAGGAACGTCGAGACATTAACGTCCAACAATAAATATTGCCGCATATCTTCGTTTCAGTGGAAGCTGATAATATTTAAGCTCTACACTCTCAGCAAGACAACTGCTTCAGACGCTACATGGAATTTTCCTGAGATT